CCCTTGCTTTTTCTTCCGCTATTCCTCCACAGAACAGTAAGGTCCTCCTTATTCAGCTATATAATCACGAACTGCAAACACAGAGCAAAAAGATGCAAACAGCTGTGTTCCCTACAAAAATAATCTTTTCAAAGAGCAGGTAATAGGTTTCTCCGAAGAAGGGTGGAGTCTTGATAAGAAAAAGTGCTGTCAAGTTGTGAGGGTCTTTGAAAGACAGTTTAAATATTCCTACGCACAAGCTTGTTTTCTGTGCATTGTGTTTGAACTTCTCTTGGGTTTAGTTGCAAGAGTGGTGTCCTAAATTGAACTGATAGTCTCCAGATGTATTTTTCTTGGGGAAACCAAAACCTGCGTGATAATGAATGCTGAACTTGGCAATTGATAACCCACAGTGGCAGATATATCACTAACATATCCCAGCTTCTTTGAGATGAGATGTTTCAACGTCAGGGTGGTAGGAAGTCTCATTCGTCTTGCCCTGCATAGTGCCTGTGGTGGGTCTCTGGGCAGGACTGTCCATCAGGAACTGCAATAGATTGACCATGGTACCAATCCAGAGGTTTTCTGAGTTATGAATAAACTTCTTAATCTGGGCAAGCTCCCTTGTGGTCTTTATCCAAGTTAAACATGTTTGGTTTTGCACAGAAGCAAGATTCAGATTAATTTCTGTCTATGCATGTAGTGTTATACTAAAGCCACTGGGGAGAGAGGGAATGAAATACATGTCAGTCCACAAGTTGCAGTTCCCAGTTTATAGTGAAGCTGCTTAAGTTTCCCCTTTTGTTAAGGGGACATTACAGGAAAGTTTATCAAATGTGGCTGTTCTGCTTGTTGAATGTAGTTTATGTATAAACTGTGTATATAACTCTTAAATAAATATAAGCTATTAATGCAAGCTAAGATGTAGTACACAGAATAAATAGAAAAAAAATAATTGCTCAATAGAAGAGATTATGGTCTTGTGTCCCTGCAAGGCAGTGACTTCATACAGCATGATTTGAATTCAGAGGACTTTGAATCTTAAAGTTTTTACAGTATATTTATGTTTAGTATTAGTATTCACTCCCAGAATTAGGCAACAATGTCTTTTCCTCTTGTTTCAATATTAGATCTCTTTGGAAAACTTGTTTGTGTATCAACATGTTTGCATGACCCCTGCTATCCAAGCATTTAGTAGCTAACTAATTTTGTAACGTTTAGGCACCTCACAAGCGGTAACTTTATTGTTCTAATAGCACCTCTTAAGCCATTAAATTGTCTTTAAAAGAACATAGCACAAAGGAATATTTGGACTAAGCTTGGAACTGAGCAGTTGCTTCTTGAATTACATGTAGTGACTTGGCCACAATATCCATTGTCTCCTGAGAATGATAAATGAGTTAATATTGAATTTGCTTTCAGTCTATAAGATGATCAAACCCCTGTTTTGCCACTATATATTTTGCCAGATTTGGGTACTGGAAGTCACTGCATATAGTGAAAAGTACGATAATATACTGTATGAAAACTGCCTTGGCAGCTATACAAAACAATCAGCAGGGCAGAACTACTTTGCCAAAGAAAAATGGAGAGAAACTGTCCTGAGCTGAAAGGGAAGAACTTATTATACTTCCATGTCTATAATGATGTCAGCTGAAGCTTTTGCATTTTGACATACTATGTCTTCATTAAAACTATATTAATATCGCATATTATTTGGCTATTTTATCACAAACAAGTGTGGCAATTTGGTTGTTCCTGTGAGATAATCATGAAAATATACTAGTTTTTGTAGCATAAGGTCACTAAAAGTAGCTGCTACCCAACGTTCTGGCAATCCTATTCACAGGCCAGAAATTCAATTGGGAATGGGTGTTCTTTAAATTTTTTGTTTTCCTGCCATTTGCTGCCTAGTGAGTGTTGTACTAGCAGGCTAAAAGCTGTCCAAAATTAGATAGTGAAGGTGAAAGATGGGCTTCCTTCAGATTAGTGAAGCTCCTTCTTCAGGGGGTCTCTGCTAATAGTTATTAGCCGAGATCAGTGTGTCTGGCTGCATGGTTTAAATGCCACAGCCCACTTCCCCAGCAGCCTCACTGGGACAATTCTGAGTTTTAAGGTTAACATTACTTGAAGCAGACAAACCAGTTCCCACAATTTCAGCGTCTGAAGTTTCTCCATACGTAATAGACAATACCAGCTGGTTCCTCTCTGCTCAAGAGGTCCATAACCCTCATGTTAACTTTTCTTGTTGCTTTCTGGTTAGATAAAAGCAGATGCATGTACTCAGTGCCTGTGCGACTTATTTCTCTTGAAAAAATTGTGGTTTTCTAATCTAAAAAGATTGTTTGTTGCCAAATATCTGATTTATCAAGCAATTTGTTACTGGATGTTCCCATTAGAACGAATTTTGAGTTTGTAAAAGGTAGTGCTGCTATTATGGTTGATTGGAAAAAGAAATTTATAGGAAACGTGCAGCATCTTTTGCTTGGGATCACTGAAAGATGAACCAGACTTCACTGAAACTGGGACTTCAGGCTTTCTATTTGATAAAAAGGCACTTCTGCAAAACAAAACTATCTATTTTAAACAGTTTTTCATCTGCAGTGGTGCTCTGGTGTCTTCATTCTTTATACTGTTAATGCCAGCTAAGCTTTATCTTTTTAGATAAAAATTTGCTGTTAAGATTGTAAAGCTTTGTGTTAAACAGTAATCACTGTTTAATTACAGTTTTCTTACCTTTCATTGAGTGTTTTTGCTGCCTCTTGTATATTCCCTTTCTAAGGTACATCCCTGGTTATCAAAGTACATATCAAGGCTGTATGAGGATATTTTCATTACATAGGTCAAGAGGATCTTGAGGTTACTGCCTTAATGAGTCACTGATTAAAGTTTGAAGTGTTGGTAGCACCCTCTCCTTGCTGTTCCCTTGTCAATATAGCACCCTGGGCAGGTGTTTCACAATCTGTACATAATATCTGAGGCACTAAATAGGGGAAATTCCCAGCTACACAGCCTGCTTTAGGCAGCTGGGTAGACTCAAAAATAGAACATTATTACATCTGCAAAAGTAACTGTAGCAATGCTAATAGTATGGATGAGAGAGCTAAAAAGTTACTAAAAGAGATTATAAAGTAGTGACGCAACAAGTAGTTCATGGGGGAAACCCATTTTTCTTCCTAAGGCATTCTCCATATTCATTGTATTTCTTCAATCTTCCTTTACTTTCTAAGAGGTCTTCTGTGAAATTATGTTTCACTCTATTTTCAACATTTAGTCAATGTCAGAGTTTCCCTTATTTTAAAATTGAGTATTTTTTGATTGTCCCAACCATCTTTTACTCAATGCAATTGGTTTCTTTTAACCTATTCTTGTAAAAAAGCGAAGCACGCACTTAAGAGAAAAAAACACCTCTTTCACAAAAACATGGATTTTAGGCTCTAAGCAGGTAGAGAGGTTTGAATAAATATTCAGTGTTTTCCCTTTTATTTTCTTTTTTTTTTCCCAAAATTAACTTTTCAGATGTGGACATAGAGAAATTTAAATTGTTTGATGTAGCTTTTCATCAAACAACCTGTTAATGGGGAGTTTAGCACACAGGGTTATTATTTTAAGCATGCACAATGATCAAGGAAAATTGCTATTCGTTTGTTGGTTGTAATAATAATTTTGGCATTTAGTTTTGCTCATTTAGCATTATTTCCAACAAAGGCTAAAACCTTTTCATTTAATCACAAGTATAAGTAGACTGCAGGCACTTCTTTAGTCACAGGTAGTTCCTACTGACTTGTTTAATCAAATATTAAAGAATTCTACATGTCTGCAAACATCATGTACCTTTTAATCATGAAATTTCAGGATCTGAAAAGAGCACCTCGTTCCTTGTTAGGTCCAAAAGTTTTTGCTTTTTGTTTTGTATTTCTTTATCGAATCAACAAACAACTTGATGCAATATCTGAAAAGCAAATGGCTGAATGAAAGGCATGTATAATATCCTCAGCTCTGTCAAAGCCTCTCCTGAAACAAGATCTTCTGGAAAGCATGTCAGAAATAACATGACCGAGTGTTGTCCTCATCTCGGAGCATGGTGGTACCTGGGTGGGAGAGGGGAGTTGAATCCGTCAAGTAAGAAACCCTCAGATATGGCATATCTGGCCTTTTTTCTAAGAGCCAGCTCTACTTCTGACTTATTACGCAGCATGGGCAAGGAGCTCAAGGTTCTTCAGACCAGCATTGATCTTGTAGACATCAATTGCAAAACCAGGTTGTTTCAGTGGGGTTTCCTTCTTCTTTATTTTAGTTATACAGGAATGTGGGAACTTCTGTGAGTAATAATTTTTTAACACTTTAGGATTCTAACACCCATACTGTATGCTTATTCTTCCAAACTACTGGTTATAGTGCATTGGGTTATTGTGCTGTTGATACTGACCCGCCTTCCTTTTTGTACTGGTAGGAATGACTCTTCAGATGAGGAAGGTAACTACAGTGTGTTAGTCAGAGATTAGATTCTTGTTTGTGCTCGTTTATTCACTAAATGTTGTTAGAAGAATTACTTTGAATTTGTTTAGGAAATGACATCCGCATCTTGCCCAAAGACATTGTAGAGATGGATTTAATGATAATTTTCTGAAGTGAGTTTGAAATATGCTGGTCAGTGTCTTTATTAATGTCCTGGACAGTGAGAAAGTGTTGGACTCAGCAATTTTAAGGCAGTACAAAATAGAGGAGCATTCAGTATGGTGTAGGGCAGAGTTGCTTATTTAAAGGAACCTTGACATGGTTCAAGACTGGTCTGTGGTAAACCTCATCAGGTTCAAAAAAGACACGTGCAAAGTCCCCAGCCTGTGATGGACAAACCTGGTGCACTGAGAAAAACTGGGGACCAGCTGGATGGAAAGCATTTTTTGGGGGGAAAAGATGCAGGCTTGTGGTGGGCAAGTGGAACATAAGCTGCCACTGTGCTGCTTGGCAAACAGTATCCTGAGCTATGTTAGTAAGAAAGCAGCCAGTAGGCTGTTGTGGTGTGCGCCCCCCCCAGCCATAACCATCAGTGGGGCTTACTCTGGACGTTGGGAATGGTAGGCAACATGTTAGCCAAAGGCTGTCTGGAATGGTGACCCAGTTGTATGCAAATACAACTTTTAAGTAAATCATTTTACTTTATAAATAGTGGGTAGTGCAGGGCCTGTTCAGCACTCCTGTAAGGCAGCAAGATCTTCCCTTGAGCAGGGATACCTCTCAAGGTTACTCCTCGAGGCTGAGAGATTCCATGCTGCTACAGATTCTTGGTAAGTGATTAATAGCATACTAAACTTTGAAAGCTAAGTGATATGAAGGATTGATCATGCATGCAGAGTCCTTTAGACATGAACTGTTGAGCAAATGCGAGATTAGGATTGGATCCAGCCATGCCTAGACTCTTCTCTGAAAAGGAGGTTAAAAAGCACGAAGGTCCTTTCTGAATGTCATGATTCAGCAGGAGGGTCTCCCTGATGGTTTTGTCTAACCCTGTCCTCTATGCAGGAAATAATCAAGTGTACCTTGCCATTGAATCATGTTAAGTCACTGTTGTATTTACCATTGAACTTTGTTAGCACGCTGGTTTATATTAGCATCTCGAAGTGCATGACTCTATCCATGACATAGGGAAGTGATCTTTCCCATCTGTTTGGCACTGGTGACACCACATCTGGAGCACTGTCTAGTTTCTGCCTCCCCCATACTAGGCAGGCAGTGACATTACTGGAGGAAGTCCAGTAGAAATGCAGGCAGGAGGACTCAGAATGTAAGGAGCAACTGAGAGAACCAAGTTCAGCCTTGAAGAGAGATCTAATTTCTGTCCTCAGCTGTCTACTGGGAGGGCATAAAACAGACAGAGCCAAACTCTCTTTAAAGATGCACAGTGATAGGGGAGAGGCAACAGATGCAAGGTGGAACAGTGAACATCACATTTAGATATTAAGAAGATGGCTTTTCACCATGAGAGTGGTCAGCCCCTGAACCAGATTTCCCAGAGTGATTGCAAAATTTCTTGTCTTGGGAATATTCCAACTGGCTTGGAGAAAGTCCTTTACAATGGGTCTAAGTTGGCCTTGCTCTGAGTGAGGGATTGGACTAGATCACACTAAATTGTAGCATGATGTTACAGGATATTCTGTGGTATTTTTATATAACTTTCTTTTGTATTACTCTTCGCCTTCATAACCTGGTAATTGAAAATGAAATTAGGAAAATTAGTTTAATATTGATAAGGCATACTTTACTTTCTGTCCATCATTGTTCATCAGTGACACAATTTCCAACCTCAGGGTAAGTGGGAGTCATGTGCATTTGAGTGAAAGGGGCCATGCATATTGGTATCATATATATATGTATAAAAATATATATAAAGCTTTTTCCTTGTCTGGCAGTATAAGAATAGGCAAGTATCAGATACTTTTTATCTGGGGAAAAAATTGTGGGTTTGAGTTAGCTTCTTTCTGTTAGTTGAGAAGTAGAGCAAGAGGAGATGCCACCAGCTGTGACTAACAGATCTGAAAAAAATAGGCAGTAATATTTCCTTTTGACTGACGTTTTGAAATGAGATTACAACAACGCTGTTGGAGCTTTTAAATTTCTAGGTGTTTGTAATAATCTTAAAGTAGCTACTGAAGTAGTAATTATTAAAAGTGTAGTTATTAGGAACCCAGTGTCATTTTGACAGAAAACCCAGCATAAGGTCATAGAATCACAGAGTGGTTTGGATTGGAAAGGACCTTGAGGTCATCCAGTTCCAACTCGCTGCCATGGACAGTGACGCCTCACACTGTCGCCCAAGGCTCTGATGGATCTTGCCAGTTTAAAAGTATCCACTCAGAGGCATTAAAAGTCAACATCATTCTGTGTTTTGTTTGGCTTTTTGTGATTGTATTCGGTGAACTTTAAGTACTTCGGCCTTGTTTATATTCTGAACAAAGATCTCTAAGAGCACCTGTTTTAAACAATAGATAGGATATTGTCTGGAAAACATCCTCCTCTGACATCCTCCCTGGTCAGAGTAGTTTTTAACAGAAACAGTGTTTTCATAGATTGCTTTTGTGCCATTTATGTTGACTATTGAAGGACAGCGTAGCAATCGGAATCTTTAAAGCAGGATGCTCTGAGCTATCTAGTTAGGAAATGGTGGTATCTCTGTAAAATTTAAATTTGTTACTTTTAGGTCCCAGAAATGGGTGTGTTGTCATGTGTTGATGTTTGCTGTGTGATGTTATCTATGTTTAATATCTTCTTCCTCTCAAAACCCAGTCTGCTGATTTTTTGCTTCCAGTTTGTTTTCAGAATGCAAATTTATTTTCTAACTTCTAACTTGCTGAAGGAGGGTGGGGACCTACAAGTATCCAGTATCTGAAGGGGGCTACAAGGATGCTGGAGGGGACTCTTCATCAGGGACTGTAGCGATAGGACAAGGGGTGATGGGTTCAAACTGAAACAGGGGAAGTTCAGGTTAGATATAAGGAAGAAGTTCTTTACTGTGAGGGTGGTGAGGCACTGGCACAGGGTGCTCAGAGAAGCTGTGGCTGCCCCATCCCTGGCAGTGTTCGAGACCAGGTTGAACAGAACCTTGGGTGACATCGTCTAGCGGAAGGTGTCCCTGCCTGTGGCAGGGAGTTGGAACTGAATGATCGTAAGTTCCTTTCCAACCCAAACCAGTCTGTAATTCTATGATTCAAAATAGATGGGTGAGTTGATTCTCTTCAGAAAGTTTAAATCTACTTTTTTAGGCCCTTCAGACTGTTTGCTGTACCTGTCCATGCTGACAGATGCCACCCCCGAGCAGTTGGCTATGGGAGCTGAAGTTAGGTCACAAAGCTGAACAGTTTCTTTGAAACCAATACTGAATTTATTGAGGTGCTGGGCTGCATCTGTACCATTGTTCTGCTTGATGGTACAGACCACAGATGGAACAGGTGCAGACTGCAACTAGCTCAGTAATGTCTGTTGAGCAATTCCCTCTTCTTCAAACTAACTTGGTTTTCAGCTGTGGAATTAAGAGCTTGATTCAAAGAAAACAACAGGAGTCTTCCACTCAGTTTTGTTGCTAGATGAGGTTAGACTGTTCATTTGAGGATTGTGTGGACTGAGATTTCAGTTTGCTCTTTTTTAATTCAACAAAAAATGGGATGTTTTGGGGGGATAATGGTTCTGTTGAGTCTTAATAAAAACAGGACAGAAACATAATTTTTTCATTGAAATTGCAGGAAAACCTGTTCCACAACTAAACCACTGCCTCTTCCATGTCTCCTCAACATACCTCAGGTACACCATTACTTAATCACAAGTGATTCTGTCCACAAGATCCAGCCGATAGAAATAATTCTAGTTGCATTAATGATTTTTAAACAAGCAAACTTAATGGGAATAATCCTGAAGCTTCAGACATGCCCAGAAAAAATTGTACTGTTATTGAGAGCAGATGGTGAACTTAATGTTGCTGAGCAAATTGCATTGAGATTATTGGTATTGCTTAAAAGGTTTGGAACTCGAATAAGACAAATGAGAGTTTTATACAAGCAAGAAGTTAGTATTTAATCCATTACATGGATTTGATGTCTTAACATATAATAAGTACTTACAGTTGTTAAACCTTGCCAACTTAGGATAATAGGAACTTTGAAGAAAGTTTTTACGCACTATTTTTAATGGTCAAAACACTAAATGCCAATTTGGGACGTAATTAATACAGTCTTATGGGATGTAAATAGAAGCTTTAAATGCCCAATGAAAATATGCCATGCCAAACAAACATGATTTTGTCATTTTTAAATACTAAGAAAAAGTATATTATAACCATATGGTAAGAAAGAGATATGCAAATCTGTTTGCTCTCCCCAGCCCTTAGTATCACATCGTGTGATACTGAAATAGCAATATGTTTACTTGATTCAGAATATCCTAAATGGATTTACAGTTAATCATTTAGGTCAGATAAATAGAGGCAACTTGTATGCAGATGTCTGTAGGTGCATTTTAGTGTCGCTGTTTTCTTGCTAATAAATCGTATATGAATGGTTAAATTTTCAAGGGACATAAAGGTCAGAAAATACTATAGTGTTTCTACAGAATATTCTCATTGTGGTAGTTCATCAGATGGGCCTGTTAAAAAGTACTTTAATAAAGAGGTGCTCATACAGCAAAGAACGTAGATGATGTGTAAAGGATAGAAACCGTGCCCTGTAATCCACATGCACTAGCATGGTCTTCAGGTGATGACTGAAGGTGATGACACCCCCAAAATGCTGTGTTCTAGGGAAGGAACATAGTTTTTGGAATTAATGAGCTATTGAATATGAATGTGAAGGTATGTTATGTCTATGTTGTTACGGCCTTATCATTACCAATATCAGCAAGCTTAAGTTTAAGCAAAAGTCAGTGTTCAATCTCGAAGGTCCTTAAGAAGTAGAACTGTATCTCTAAGGCAATTGAGAATCTACTGCATCTGTATGTTTTGGGGGTTTTTCAATCAAGACTGGTTAAACCCCAAGGTGTATTACATGATCTGAGTAAAAAAACCCACCCCAGAAACAAAATAACAGGTATTTTGGTTTATGTTATAAAGTGGGTAACACATAAATGGTCTCTTTGCTTGTTTCTGGCTGCAGACTGAAATGTGGCTAAACAAAAAGCTTGCGCTAAAAATTGCTCGTTTAAGATTTTAGCCAAGCACCTTCAATTGTCTGCAGTTGTCTGAGGCAGTAGATGAGTGCACAGACCTAAGGACTGGGTTTGGTTAACTTTGCTTTTAGGTTTTGGAAAATATTTGCCATCATAAGATATGCTGGAGAATATTGTTCCTTTTAATCCTCATTCTTGTCCCCTCATTCAGCAGCCCATGTTTTTCCTATTTGAAACTTCTTTTTCAGTTTTCCAAAAAGGAAAAGCTGAGCGAAGGTCACATTGTTTTAGTAAATTAGTTCCAGAAAGTGTTTCTTGAAAAGAAATTGTTTTTAAAGTAAACAATATCCATCCCTCTGTTTTATTTTCATGGATATTTTAAGATGAAGATTACTAATACTTGTCAGTCTCATGGATGTTTTTTCTTCAGCTAAAAAACTTTTGACCCTCACTTTCTATTTCAAATCCTTTGTTACATTTAATTTCAAGGTAAA